ATGATCACGCCAGAAAATCTCGTAACTGACACAAATGTTTTACTAGTCAGGCAGAATCCAAACGGGTTACCCTTTACACCTCTTGAATGGTCTCAGTTAGTTCCAATTTTTGAGGCCCTACCAACTCAATGGCGAAAATCCTTGACATCTTGCGGACCCAAAAGTGGCAAAACTTTTTTTTATATATGATCAAATTAAACTCTATCTGAAAAAACAGGCCGTACAGATCGAGAACGTCCTTTCCAAGAATGTTTATTCTGAAATTAGAGCAGGTTATGAAACTAGACCAACTGCACAAGCGAGATTTGAAGAACAGTTTCCTGATATATGCCTTGATTGGCACGATATTTATAAATTGCCTTTTAATGTTCTCATGGACACCAAATCCAGAGAATTCCAGTATAGAATTTTAAACAGGTACTTGACAACAAACTCTTTTCGTTATGAAACTGGTCTGGCGAATTCACCATTATGTACATTTTTTAAACAAAAGAGCGAATCCCTTGAGCATTTATTAATTATATGTTCCTGTACTAAGAGTTTCTGGTCGGACTTTCTTACTTGGAGTAATCAATGAAACATATCCTTTAGAAACCTTTCAGACAGCGATATACTTTTTGGATTTTGGCAAAGGAAAGAAGACTACTTGTTTATTAATCACATGTTAGTCTTAGCCAAGCAACATATTTATGAATGTCGTAACAAATGTACTGATCCTTCTTTTACAATTTTTTTACAAATAAAGTCAGTTATGTTCATAGTTAGAAAAGAAACTTATGAATTGAAATAACAAAGTTGCCGATCAGGAAAGTAAATGGGAAAAGTTTCAGTTATTCGGCCGTGGTAGTGAGAATTAAAATGCAAAAAAACTTATATCCTATTTTATAGTAGTAATTGTACCTAAACAGTCTTTGTATCAGCCATTATTTATGTATAGTAGGAGTGCATTTTGTGTACTTGTAGTAGTAGTTTATTGGTATAGATGTAGTATTGCATGTTTAAAAAAAATAAAGAAAAAATTAAAAAATATATATTAATAACCTAAGTAAGGCTGCCCTATCTTTTTAGGCCTCAATGGTTAATATGGGCAGCCTTTACTCCTCCTACATTAATTAGCATTTTTTTATATAATGTAAATCAATGTGGAGTACAAAATAAATTTGTTGTTGTTGTTGTTGAGTCCTGAACTAGGCCCTGTACGTCGAATTTGGGATTAGAGCAAACTATCTAGTAGCAGGTATGAGGGATAGGGCAAGTGTAAATCAAGCGGCGCTGAAGAGAATAAAATTCCTCTTTTCGAAGATGTTGAACGTTGTGTGTTTGTCCCACACGCTCGATAACGTGGGTAGCCATCTGATGATTCCAACTCTTCTGGAATTTGGAAACCGGTGGATCCGATTGTTTCACAGCTATAGAGCGAAGCTGGCACGGAAAGACCTAACCGGCCGAAAGCCAATATCGTTCAGCGAAATTCGCTACTGGAGCAGTTTGGAGACGTACAGAAATTTCTATAGGAGCTAAGCCGCAGCAGAGAAAATCACCCCAAACATTGTGTCCTAACTACAAAACGTACTACTATCAGATCCTGAGTTCCTTGTCAAACTCAAGCTGGAGCTTGCCGTAACCATTGACTTTGGGGAGCATTTTGTCAAGGATACGCACTACGTAGAAGGAGATGGTCCCCTTGTGTTTTCCTGCTATAGGAAGCTGCAGGCTGTAGTCGAGGCTTGTCAGGCGCCGCACTTTCCAAAAGTGCGTGAAGCGCAACAAACTGAGTTGTCAAATAACTTTTCACAATTTATCCGGGTAGCTTAGCTCTCAAGATGAGCTAAGATGCGAGCGATAGCAGAATGTGAGAATTGTTTACTTTAATAGAAAGGGTATCCGACCTTATTAGAAAAAGATGGTTACCGCACAATTAAACACCTGGATAAAATGGAAATGTATCCAAAGCCATCAGTAAGATGCTGTATGATCATTGCATCAATGAATTGATGAGGGAAAACTTAACCATCCATATATCTTAAAGAAACGTTCCTGATGTTTCGCCTTAAAGAAGAACAAAGTACACGGCATCTGTCTTATCTGTCTTGTTCAGTGAAAGAAGAAAAACATGTAGATGAGTCACCGTGAATCTCGAAAAATCGTTGCCACGATTTCACCTTCTATTCAAGGCTCACCAACCTATCAACTGCTCTAAAATTATTCAAATAACTTAAGCAAAGGAGGATGTGTATGGATTTTATTATCTTTACTAAATAAGCAAAGACGCATGGTGCAGTTAATCTTAATGCCTGATTGCCATTTTTAATGGAGTTTCTTGCACTATGGCAGACGCTTAGTTGGACACTTAAAGGCGAGTCGGGAAAAAAGCGCTAGCACTTCTTAGAGAGACGCTGATTTTTCTTAATTCAAAGGTGACCGGGGAGCTGAAAGTACGAATTATATCACTTAACACCTCAGGATTCTGCCAGTAAGGACCCGCATGTGGAGAACGAAAAAACGTAAGCAGGACGTTTGGGAAAAAAATAATAATAAAAAAAAGGAAAGCAAAAGGGTAACTTACTTTTTTTAACTTTGTCTTGAAGCTAGCCAAGGAGAAAGCACTTTTAAAATACTAATTTAAATACTCTTTATTTATGTTCAAACCACTTGGTCGTTAACCAGGTGAGCATTGAATAGATGCTTAATGGCAAACTTTCTTCTTTGCTGGAAGGCTTTCCCGACGAAAAAAGAATCGAAGTGACTAATCAGTGAATCCAATTTATACACAATTAAATATTGTATGTTTTTTTTTTTTTTTTAATTTTTTTTATCCTAAGTAAACTTGTGAGTTCAGAAGATTGATTATTAATCTCAACTACCTACGGATGACATTTCGGACTGTCAACTTCCCTACTTTTTTTTACTGCCATTGATTACGTATTCTTTTGTTTCATGACTAAAATATGTTTAACGCATTGTGAGGGGAGTGACGTCTACAAAGAAGCTTGAAAACTATTTATCCAACGGATATATCTTAATCATCAATTAAGAAATTTCAATTAGCGGA